AGCTTCATAACCCACTAGCAAGTGGTCTCTTTATGAAATAAAGAGGTCAAAATATTTTATACTTTATTCCATAAACTTTCATATTTTTCATATTGGGTAGGCAAAAGGGAAAAGAAATAAGATGATTCACAAAATCTTAAATAATTTGTGTAAGCCAGTTTTAAAGCACCTGGCGTTTAATAACTATCTTTCATCCAAGGCATCCATTGCATTGTTACACAATCATTCTTCCCATAAATCATTATCCACAACTACAGTTTGGGAATGTGCTTTCTATATTTTAAAGTAAGAAGAAATATTTATTTTAGAATATGTCCTGAGATGGAATCTTGCTATAGAAGGAAGATTATGACAAAACACTTAGCACTTAGCCCTGTGGACCTTGCCATACTGGACAGCTTATGAATAAACATTTTTCTGATTTTGACAGTATTTTTGAACAACGCATTGACCCTATCTCTTTGTATCAAGCCATTGACCATCATTTCCAAATTGTTACTCTGTAAAGATCTTAGGATTATATGTATAACTTGTTATTTCAGATATTTAGACAATTGTTCAATGGGAAATGAGGATATATTTGTCTTTTCTTTATATTGTAAAATCATTTTTATGAATCACTGAACTCCATATCTGAAATTTACTGAACAGCTAGTTAGGGAAAGGTTCATAACAAATGTAGCAATGACCTTTTTGAAATCTCTTGATATTACTCTGCATATGTCTAAGAATTCTTTCACTGATAATAGTAATTGTAAAATTAGGAGAAAATTCCAGAGTATATTAATTACACTGACTATTCCTCATTGTTTTCTATATCTGATTTCTTAAAGCTATGTTTTAATACCTCCAAGCACACACCAAGGAGTGACTGACTATGCAGGTGCTTCTGTTAGTGACAACACGTGTGTGAATAATTGTTCAAGGAGAGTATTCTGCCTTATGTTGTATCACTTTGCTTATTTAAAATGCTTTAAATGTGGACTCTTCATAGAAAATAAAATTCTAGAAGACATAATGAATTATTTAACCTGGGTAAGGTTAAATTGATTGATTGATTCAGTTACTTTGTTTTCAAAAACTACACAAGAGCCCCTGGATGGTGTGATTCAGTGGACTGAGTGACGGCCTGTGAACCAAAGGGTTACCGGTTCAATTCCCAGTCAGGGCATATGTCTAGGTTGCGGGCCAGGTCCCCAGGAGGGGGCACACGAGAGGCAACCACACATTGATGTTTCTCTCCCTCTCTTTCTCCCTTTTCCCCTCTCTCTAAAAATAAATAAATAAAATCTTTTTTTAAAACTACACAAGAAAAAGAACATGGTAGAGATGGAGAAAATAGATCTCTAGTTACACAGTCTCTCATGGCTTAAGAAAATATGAACTGGACATGAGTTGGATTTATCTGTAGTGTATAAATTTTTGTATTTCAAAAAATTGTAATGTATATCTTTTTTGAAAGAACTTCAGAATTCTCACAAGACATTCTTGACCTTGCTATGTAATAGCTTTCTCAACAGCTTGATTTTTTTAGTGCTTTATTTTCTTTCAAAGTACTTTCCTACATGTTTTTTTTCTGCTTTATAGTACTGACGTAAGAAACGCCCAAACCTGTAGAGAATTTTTATGAGTTCATTTGAGACAAACTAACAACATATGTTAAGGAGCAAGATCTCAATGCTCCAGAGAGTAACGGTTTTGTAGCTTCTTTTATGCATTTGAAATTAAGGAGGAAATGTAAGAAAATTACATGGAAGTGGGAGAAGCATGGCAGGTATTGGATTACAGGATAGTTAACAAGATTATGTGCTCTCCTGAGTGTGGTTACAATTTATTTCAAAGATATGTTAACTTAGAAACAATGGACTTGCATTAAAGCAAACACAAACCTTTTACTAAAAAATTATATGCCTGGGGCATGACTGCCCACTAAGACATGCCCAGTTAAGGATTTATGATCAGATCATCCTGTAAAGTTACTTTTTCACAGAACCCCTATTTTCCCACAATAGGATTCATTCTATTATACAAAGAAATAATATTTTCTATGCATTAGAAATTATCAAGTGAAAGTAAGCATATACTATTTAGGATGCAATGAATTCCAGTTCCTGCTGTATCATTAGCTCTGGAGACCTGGCAGAATTCATGGAACTTTTGGGGATTTTCATGCATTCATCTGCACAATAAATTACCTCTAAACTTCAGAGACAAGCAACTTCTAGTACAATCACTTTACAATATTTATAATGCTAACAGAAATGATCATCCAAAGTTTTATTTTTTCCCTTCCTTTTTTTCACAGACCACATTAGCCTTATAGCATGTTCCTCCACTGTCTGATTTGCATACTTACAGTTCCCTTCATTCCTTATTTTGCCAGGCATTTTTTCATAGTATCATTTGTATTTGTTCTTCTACATATCCTTTCTCTTTGAAGTACCCTGAACTCATTTCACACTGTCCTTCATTCTCAGTTGCATTCAGTTCTCCTGAAATAGTGCATTACAAGGTCAAGTAACAATGTTCTTATCTCTTCCCCACTCCCCTAAGAATAGGGCTGTCGTAACAGTCTTAAAAAATTACATCAGGTGTCACCAGCATCGGGATAGGAGCACTGCATTATAGTAGACTGGGCAGGAAGCATCATCTTGGTTTTCAGATGAAGAAATCAGTAAGACGTTCTCTTCGGAGGTTAGGGGACAATGTGGACACAGCTTGTTAGCTCCAGGAAAGTTTTCCACTCCATGACCTTACCTGAGCAGGCAAAATTAGTAATGAGAAAACAAAAGAAAGGCAAAGATAGAAAAATAAAGGGAGAGAGACAGAGTGAGATGTTAAAGAGAGAGATTAAAATATGGTGTCTTTATTGTTATCAGAATACAAGGCCACAAAACAATGGAATCCAAATCTCTTAATTCTTAGGCTACTGAATCCCTGACCATTAACCTTGAGCATTTCTCAGTACAATTAAAAAAAAAAAAGATAAAAATTGAATATTTGCAAAGTAAATACTATCTGTAAATTTTAGTAAATATGAACTTCAGACTTTCTGTTAAGATTCATAAAATAATGACATAATTTTATGAGTAATATAAGAAATAAAATTTATATGTTAAGGTGGAAAAATTTTAGGGAGTCATATTCAATACAATCTCTACAGTGATTAGATTATTTGCAACAAAGTAAGAAGAGCACAGTTGAATAAAAACTAAACTCATCTGTGCAGATAAATAATACACAGGGCAAAAATGAAGATGCATTACTTCAGCATGTGAAAGATGTTCAATGGTTTGTGGGAGTCTCTTTTATCAGAATCATTTGAAAGAGCATCCTTTTGTTTGGAGAAAAGGTTTTGGATGACAGTGAACTTCAAAAATAACTGATATTTATTGTGAACATATCAGTGTTGTACAATCACAGTGTTCATATAATAAACTTCTTATTCCTTTATAGTTTGTATCTTTTTGAAAGCATGTTACATAAAATATATTTACAATTTTAATTAAAATATATGAAAAGGTTCATTTAAATAAGAAGTCCCTGTAGAAAACTAAATAATCAAAGAGTCAAAACAGAAATGATTTTTAATTATTTTTCTGGGTTATAGTTGTTCTCAACTGTTGTTGTGTACATAAATTTTAAAGAAACCAATAGCAAAAGCTAATGAATAGGATGGTTCAATGTGGGGGCTGGAAGAGGAAGTAGAGGAACAGGGAAGGGAGAAAACAACTTAGCTATCTGTTACCTGGAGTTCTTTAATCACAGTGATTAAATGAAACAAATCCAAATAACCAAGTACAACAAAGAGCTCTACTCTACTGCCATTCCTAAGGTGAAAGGTAGAGGGTGCATGAATTAAGTGATGAATAGACATACATATATACATATATTTCATACAGTGATTGGTTCCACAAATATTTGTTTAAAATGACTTTGGAATTACAATATTCCATAAAAGTAAATAGTAAACTATCAAGCAGTGTGATAACAAAAAAACATTAGATTAAATATTTTTAAAAAACTAGTTTTGAAACCAGCTTTAGCACATATCACTAAATAACCATGGAGAATCACATGGAGGGTCCTTGTGTTCCTTTTTGACATTTAGATCTATTGCCTTATTCCTAAAATGAGCTAGTTAGACTAGGTGAGACTATGTGATCTCTAAGACCTTTCTGGTTCCAACAATTGTTAGTTTGTGGTCATGCAAACAGTTCTTTGCTCTCTTTCCAAGGATATAAGCCCTACTACCCTCAATTTTTGTCAGGCAGATGGTGTCAGCGGGCAAATAGACTATCTCAAATGGGTGACTAACAAAGCTTTTTCCAATAGGACTATTATTTCTTTCTTATAGAACATGTCTTGATGAATAAAAGCAAAAGAAAGAATGCTATAGTTCTTTTAGCATTCAATATTTTAGTTAGATCTATCTCCTTGATGGTTGGGGGGTGGAGAGAGAAGAAAAGGACAGTTTTTAGATTTGCTAAAGATTAAATTCAACCATCAAATCTGCCACTTGTTACTTGTGTGATTATAAGAAAGTTGTTTGTTTGTTTTTTTAACTTTGACTCTCTGTTACCTTATCTATGAATTTTAGAAAATAATGGCACCTACCTTATGAGGTTGTTAGGGAAATAAATGACTTAACACTTTTAAAGCATCTAGCATCAACCCCACACGTAGTGCTTCAGGAATGTTTGTAATTAACAGTATGTGTCTCTTAATAAACAACTATTTCTCATCACAGTAATTGCAGGAGTAGGAATGGGAACAATATTTTCCTTTACTGTTTGGATAAGTATATGCTCATGCATTGGCATTTTGTAGCTTTGCTTGACACTTGAAGAAAAGAGGGTGACAGTGGAACATCGAAAATATTGTGAAATGTTGCAGTCTGTTTTATGACCAGATATTTTAAATGCCTTCAGAATGCATAAGGCATGCTATTTTCTTCGCAAAGCCTGACACATGGCTGAGCATGCTACATTTCTTTTCAGTGATCATTGGCCCTCCTAAGCCTGCGAGTGGGTTTGCAGAAGACAGTGCCGCATTGGCTGAGGGTGTGTCGGATCTCCAGGAGGTGGTGTCTTTGAAGGAGCGCATGGCGAGGTACCAAGCAGCTGTTTCCAGGGGTGATTGCCGCAGCTTCTCTGCCAACGTAAGCTGCTCCTGGTGATCTTGTCTTCAGCAATGTGTTTGTTGTCTGTTCTTCATTCACCCTCTTTATATTGCAGTATAAGAATACTATGGGATAATGAGATAAAGTAGAGAAAGCACAGAAATAGTGTGACTCAAATTTGGAAGATCTAAATGTAAGCTTCAGCTCTGCTATTCATTAACTGTGTAAATTCGGGTTACTCTCTTAACCTCTCTCAGGGCTTCCGTTTCCTTAACTGAAATATGGGAATAACCATCTACCACAGAGGGGCTTAGTGAGGAGTCAAAGAGATAATGTATGTGTAAGCCATAAGGTACTGTATAAAGGTGTTATTATTCCCATCATTATCATTTAACCTATAGCTACTCTCCTTAGAAAAGTTGAAAATTAATTTCAAATTTTAAAAATGTGGGCCTGCGTGCCTCCCTCCTTGGTCTCATGAAGAGTTCATTTAGATTCCCTGGCAGTACAATTTCTTTTGCTTCTCTCATTTCCCTATATGTACTAAACCTAATAGGTGTAGGTTAATCAACATAGAAATGAGGGAGATTAGCAATGTGGGGACTCTGCTAAACCAATTATTATTATAGGAAACAGCAGACCTCAGTAAGACCGCTAATTTTTAGAGCCAACGCATAATAAAGTCATATTGAAAAGAAATTTTGTTCCATATTCTGTAGCCTTCATTCCCCAGGATTTGAGAGTCATTTTATTAGTAGCAGCTTTATAGCTTCGTGGCATATAAAGATGTTATTTTATAATTATAATCACTAAATTAACAAAATTGTTCCTTTAACCAATAGAAAAAAGAGACAGAATAGCTAAAAAGGGTAGAATTCTAAAATAGGCACTGTTAACATTTTAAAAAAATTATTTAGAGACAAGTCTGACTGTGCTAATCTCATTAACAATGTTACAATTCTAGATGACATTTAAGTTTTTACATAAGCATTAAAATCCATTTTAGATGCAGAACAGCTTTTGAATGAACGTAAAGAAATGACAAGCCCCTAGATCACTTCCAAAACAGATACTATCACTCCAGCGGCTCCTGCCATTCTCCTTAGATAACACCCTCTGCTGGATCAGCAAGGAACTTTAGTACAAATTAGTGTTTTAAAATGGTGGAAGGATTCTTGGGGAAACAAGATGCTTTTGAAAATACCTAGTTAAAGACTGGACATCCAGTAAATCATCTTTTATTGAGTAAGATGTTTATCTTTTCATGAACTATGGGAATATGCCATAAAACCATAAAAACTTGTATAGGGCATAATTTGCATTTATAATATACAAGAAAGCATATTCAAATTGGATACATGAAGAAACTAAATGATCACTAACACAGAAGGTTTCTTTGAATTTAATCTTTTATTGTATTTTTTTCCATTACCATTTAGTCCCTTTATACCCCCTCCCAAGCAATCACCACACTGACTCCATGTCCACGAGTCCTTTTTCCTTTTTGCTCAACCCCTCCACCCCTAACCTTCTCTCCTCCACCTCCATTAACTAATGCAATTCTATTCCGGAGATATTTTACATATAAGAAATTTAATAATCCCTCCCTTTCCTGCCAATTTACAAAAAAAAAAAAAAAACCTGAAGGAAAGTAATTTGTGGAGATCACGTAATGTGTAACAAAGCCATTCTCAGTTTCTAGTCTCTTGACTTCGGTACTCTTTCTACCATATTCAGCTTCCTCCTCTTGTCCCAGAAAGCATCTTTGGCTCAACAAATGACCCCTTATCCTATTATTTGGTTTGGCCCTAAGCGAATATTGTGAGAAGAAAAAAAAAAGAACACATATTATCTCAGAGAAATCCTGAGAAAATTTCTTTACCTAAAGAAATTCTTTAGGTAAATACCTAAAGAAAAGTAAAAACAAAACAAAACAAAATAAAACAACAAAGAAACTGCCCTTTTTGGTCAGCTGCATCAAATTCTTGCTCACTTTTTAAAAATCATGGATACTGCTTGTGACTAAATTTCCGTCCACACAAATAAACCAAATATTTTTATTGTATTTTTTCCATTACCATTTAGTCCCCTTATACACACCTCCCCACCACAATCACCACACTGTTGTCCTTGAACATGAATCCTTTTTCCCTTTTGCCCAATCCCTACACTCCCTAATCTCACAGCCTCTTAACTGTCATCTCACTCTCTATGAGTCTGTCTCCATTTTGCTGGTTAGTGTAATGTATTCATTAGGTTCCATGTAGGAGTGAAATCATATGGGGTTTTTTTTTTATGACTGGCTTATTTCATTTAACATAATGTCCTCCAGGTCCATCCTTACTGTCACAAAGGGTAAAACCTAAACCAAATATTTTATATGCAAAACCTGGAAGTCACTGATTAGCCCCAAAGTGTATCCATTGTATTTCAGTCACACTGAGATCGCTGACAATGATCAGTTTCTCACTGTCCTAGACTCAGCCAGATGGCATTTGGTTGAACCTAAATAAAAGTCACACTCATGAAAAGGTAGCAGACTGCAGAAACCCCTAGAAGAGAAGGAGAAGGTAACATTTGTCAAAAAACAAATTAAAATGCTAGAATCCGTGCTGGGCAATTTTATTTCCTTTATCTTTTTTTTTTAACACTCACAAGAAATCTTTGAGAATATATTGTTATTCCCAGTTTCTGAGAAATAACACTGAGTTTCAGGAACTCCAGTCCTAGGTTTTAAGTGTCAGAACCGGGATTAGAATCACCGTCTGTCCAAACCCCCAAATCATGTTCTCTCTGTTATGCCCTGGAACCCAAGGGCAGTTCATTGTAAAGGAAACTGGTGATTATGTAATATATTTACCTACGTTTAAGTGTAGGGTATTTAAATTAACTTAATATTAAACTAACATCATATTAGGTTAGGTTCTATGTTAGGTATTTAAATCCACTTAATAAGGTAACTTTATTATTGGCATACCCATTAGATTCTAAATTAAATTTAATTCTGACTCCAAAAATAGGAAACCTTGAATAAGTGTGCAAAATTTCAAAACCAAACAATCTATGTTATGTGGTTATTTACAAGAACATGGTTTAGTTGGAATGTTTAGTACTTGGTGCTAAACAAGGCAAAATGATGGGAAGTGGTCTCCATCTAAGCCAGCTAATGGCTACGGACTGCTCCCTGAATAATCCCTGCCATCTATCCCATACATATGGAAACCTTACATTGACAGTCTGTGCTGAACAAGAAATCCTTAGCACCACCTCTAATCTACAGTTAAAAGGACTTACCTCACTTAGGTGGGTGAGTAGCAGCTATGGTGTAGCAGCAGTTAGAGATAATGCTACTGATAAAAATAATCAACTGTATGCATTTGCTGTTAATTTGCTCTGATTACAAAGCACAACACTAAAGGAAAGAAATGAGTACATTGTGTTTTAATCCTTTTGGTAGATGAGAGTCAACCTGTTCAGTGTAGGAACTGATATTTCTGAGAAAAGGCACAAACTAGGAAAGTATCCAGTAATTAGCATAATTAGTGGGATTTACCAGATTAATTTGCACATAATTTGGACATTGTTTACACTTGTTGGAAAGTATAAGGTTCTTCTTAACAATAATTATCTTAATTTCTATAACTTAATATTCATATACGGGGTGGGGCAAAAGTAGGTTTACAGTTGTAATACTACTAAATAATAAATTACTAATTAATAAATAATTAAAATACAAGAATAAACTCTGTTTCCCATATTTGCAACTGTAAACCTACTTTTGCCCCACCCTGTATTTTCTATATATGATTAATTAAGGAAGGCCACTTATATAAATCAAATGACAGGGAGATTTAAAAAAATATCATAGCCTTAATTCACCCTTCCCCTTCATTATCTTAAATTTCAAAAGGAATGCCATACTCTTCCTTGACTTAAACAAGTATCAAATGGCAGTAGTTGACCAGGACTTATACACGAAGTTTGTTGCAGAATCTGATAGACTATCTCTAGTAAACACATAAGGGTACATTATTATCCATTCTTTCCATAGATCCAATGTGCATATTCTTAACAGTCCATTTAATTGGGAAAGGTTATGAACTTAATAAAGCAACCGCTTAAAAGCTTGTTAGAATTTAGATAATCTTGAGTATGAACATAATTTAGTCTCTCATATTTTGGTATATAAAGAACCCCAAGACAACAGCTGTGTTGTTAGTGTCTCTTCGAGAGAGACTACACGTAGGGGTAAAGGTTCCAGGCCCACGGAAGCCCACAGCCCATGGTATGGGAACCTCAACTCACCAGCATCCCGGGCATCCAGTTACTTTCACGTCTCAAGAATGTTATGTCAGGACCAGGCCAGGCCTCAGGAGACTCACTGTAATTTGAAGTGTTGCTGAGTCTCCTTCCGGTTATAAGGAGACCTGGAGGAGGGTGGGTTGGCCTGAGGCCTGTTTGCTTGAGAGTTGCCTTTTCCAGTGGGGCTTGAGTGCCTGCTGGGCTGCAGAGTGTGCTAAATTTTTAAAACCAAAGCCCTTGAGTTATAGCACTTCCCATAAAATCTGACAACACTCTGCAGTGTTTTTCAAGTTGTTCCAAATATTGCCAATTGAAATAGACTCTCTCATCTGTAAACTGCCAGTAATAGACTAAAATCCTTATGATCTTAACCCCACCCCGCCTCCCACCTATTCTCACCCGCCAACGCTGAGAGCTGAGTCCTGGAGTGGTAGAGCTGCTGTTTTTCTGCCTGACCTTTAAGGCTTATGAGGACTGACAGACAGCTGTGATTAAGACAGATATGAGTTCAAATCCCTGCTCCAACACTCATACCCAAACTGTGAGAACTTGGCAAGCTGCCTTGCTTTTCTAAACCTCAATTTCCTCATTGTAAAATCAAGATAATAATTGTCCATATCTCACAGAATATGGAGAAACATCAGATGACAGAATATGTATAAGTATATAGCCATTCACTGTGGACTATTATTAAGTAGCTGTTATTATTGCTGATATTAATACTTTTGCATAAGAGATACTCTGAGGCTCTTTTGTTTATCCCTAAAGATTTAAATACATTTTGGAGTGAGTCAAATGTTTTTAATATTCTATGTGTTGCCTATAACATTTGGGATTTTAATGATGACCTTATTGGGTTAAAATTGAATCCATTTTTCTAATTTCTACCAGTCTGTGTATTATTGGAGAAATGCATTTTAATAGTTCTAATCTCCAGACCTCAAAATCTGAGATAAGGAAAATTAACTCGATACTTTGAACATTCTTCTAACATATCAAAACGCAGATAAATGAGAAAATAACATGAGATTATTTTTGTTAAGGGATTCTTTAAGGGCCTACTGAAATAATTGTGTATATTAATATCTTTGTAAATATATAACCAATTGATAATTGTCAAATAGTAAAAAAAAAAAAAAAAAGCTGAGAATGCTATCCTGAGAAAATATAAAGCTGATTTTTCTTTTTCTTAAATTGTCCTAGATGATGGAGGAATCAGACATGTGCACAGTGCCTGGTGGTTTGGCCAGAGTGAAGAAACAATTTGAAAAGGACAAAATTGCTTCTTCCTGTAATACCTTTTCTCAGTACCAGTACCAGCATCAGAACAGATCTGAGCAGGTAACACTACGATAGTTAATGGATAAATCATGTATGATTGAAATGATCTCATTTCAGTGCCAGTGTGGGGACTGCCTGTACCATCCCTCCCACCCTCACCACCTCTTTATTTGTGCATTTATTTTAATTCCCTATGAACAAAAATGGTAAATTTTAAATGTTTTAGAAAACCATTTTTAAAGCATATCAGTGTGTTGATTTACTTGCGTGGAGCATTTTGATACACTCTTGGGGAAGCATGCTGGAATATTTTTCCTCTCGGCATCTAATGTTTCAAATATAAATGGAAATTAAAAAGCCTAGGTTAGTCAACAGGTAAATAGAAATGTTGTGTACAGTGTTTATATTGAGTCTCTGCTTCTAGGTTGTCATTCCTAGTAAACTATCCACTGGTTGTTGGCATAGATAAAATATGAAGCATTATAAAGCTGTTTATTGTGATGAGTTTTCTGTTTTCTCTAAAAAGCATCAAAAATTGACTAGTGGAAACTAGATGTTATATATAACTGTATAATGTTACCTTATATAAAATATTTCTTTTCCATTTTATTCTTCCATTATCATATATCACTAAATGTTATCATAGGATATAAGTATTTTTCTATGTAAGAATCTAAGTAATAAAACTCATTAGACTGAGCTTGGCACTTAAAAAAAAGATTGCATTGTAAACAGCTGTACTTAGGCCCATGTTTTCCATGAATAAAAAAGTAACCAGAGTATTTCTGAAATTTTGTAGTGGGAAATGAAAGTGTTTTTTTTTTTTTTTAAATCCTTAGGATATTTAGAGTTGCCTAAGTTTTAAAAAACGAGGCAACTGGGTCTATTTGGTAGGAGGGGTATATCAGATAGATTGATTAAAAATCTGATGTGAAAAAGTATTTGTGTTTTTATCAGGCTTTGTCTGAAAAGTAAAAAATGTGCAATATAGATAGCTTAATATTTACATTTATGTAAGATTTCTTTTAATTTTACTTAGGAAACATAATGTAAATAAGAAATTAAGGTTGGATATACTTGTGATCTAATATATAGTTACAACATAGGGGTCTTTAAGTGAGTCAATTATGTGTTTTTACTTGAAATTGGTAAACAATATGAAATAGAGTTATCGTTAATAATTTAAGCAACTACCCTGACTGGTGTGGCTCAGTGGGTTGGGCATCGTTCTGTGAACTGAAAGGTCACTGGTTCGGTTCTGGGTCAGGGCACGTGCCTGGGTTATGGGCCAGGTCCCTGGTTGGAGGCCTGCAAGAGGCAGCCAATCGATGTTTCTCTGGCACATTAATATTTCTCTCTCTCTCTCTCTTTCCCTTCACGCTCTCTAAAAATAAATAAAATTTTTTAAAAAATAAAAATAAATAATTTAAGCAACAGATTCTACATAGAAGTGTAGGTATTTACAGAGCCTCTGTTTTGCATGAAAGCACTAAAATAGAGTGTAAGGGCTGCAGGACTTGTAGATCCGAGCTCACAGGCCACTCCTGTCAGCAGCTGAGTGACAGGCACAGGGCCACATTCATGGGTGAAGGGCTGGGTGTTTGCACAGGGCCCCATTCTTAGAAGGACCCTGCACTTAGATTAATGCTCCACTGTTATCATCTTGAAATTCTTAATAATTTCTTAACAAGGGACCCACATTTTCATTTTGCGCTAAGTCAGGCAAATAATGTATCTGGTACTACATAAACCAAATTCATAACCCACTCAAGCCTCAGTTTCTGATGAGGAAGATGAAAAAGTGTTGAGTGATTTGTGTATCTTGTGAGATTACTATATAGGTCTAATATAATAACAAAGGACAATTTCTGTAAAAGTATTTCATTATCCATAAAACTTGGACTCTAATATTACAAGAGACAGAAAACCCAACCAAAAGTGGCTGAAACCAAAAGTAACATTGCAGACTGACCAAAAGGCAGTCTCATAGGAGAGAGGTTTAATGTTAGCTCCCATGGTATTCTAGAGCAGCTGACTTATACTAACTCTTTGATTATTAAATTTTTAGGAATTTTGCTAACTAGATGATGTCATGTTAACAAGTTGAAATTATCCATAATGAGGATATTTGTGCCAGGGAAATTAGCAAATGTAACAAATGAAAGATTTATTTTTTCCTTCCTTTCTTCTTTCATTCTTTCTTTCCTTTCTTCCTCCTCCCCCGCCCCCTCTCTTTCCCCTCTCCTCCTCTTCCTCTTGCTACTTCTCCTTCTCCTTCTTTTTCTTCTTCTTTTATTTTAAACCCATTTTTAAGTATGTATTAGCTTACCACTGATGTAAGGGCTGAAAAGTATGTGCCTAGCATGATGGCTAATCACAGAAACTGAAGTCAGATCACTTGGGTCCAAATTCCTGCTCCCTCACTTATTAGCTGTGTGATACTAGGCAAGCTTCTTAATTTCTCTGTGCATCAATTTCCTCAATTATAAAGCCAAGGGTATAATAGTACTTCCTTAATAGGTTTGTTAAGAAGATTAGATTAATTATACTTTAAGGTGCTTACAGCTGTGGCTCATTGTAAGCACTACACAAGTGTGTGGTTTGTTTTGTTTTGTTTTGTTTTTAAATTAAATATCCCCTTGATTGTATTTCTTCTTTTTTACCTCTGAGCCTTGCTTCCTCTGAACTGCCCCCATTCTCACCCAGATTTCTCCCAAATGGTTGTAAAAAGTGCAGAGAAAGAGTAAGAATTCTTTTTTCCAGAAGTCCCAGGAAAAGGCCTTACACATCTAACTGGCTCTAAATGGCACACACATGCCCCTCCTAGCGCTCACTGCTATAGCCAAAGGGAGCTGGTTGGCGGAGGCCTCCGCACCTGCTACCAAAGTGGAAATACTCAGCACACATGGTTATCAATGAAGAATAAATGAATATGAGGTAAAAACAAAGGCAGCCAAACAAACTATGTATGTTCACAATAAACTCCTTGTAAATGTAGTTTATTATTATAAGATGTAGTTGCTGTTCTATGAATATGAAATAGTAATGTGTATGGGAGAAGTAAACAACCAGCCATGAACTAGAAGTCAAATCTGCATGACTCAGCCTGCGGAGACCTCTCCGTTTCGTTATCTACATTTAGATGTGCTAATAATACCCGATAATTTCATGAGGAATAATTCATAATGCAATGTAACATAAGTAAAATATAAAGGAAATATATGTAAGAATAAACTAGTAAATACCGTTTATTGAACTGTATGCTAGAGTCTGTGGGAAAATGAAGGAAAAAAGTTACCTGCACCATAGAAAGTTAATAATTTTAATTTATAATGCTTATTGGAAATTTGAAATACATGTCCAATTTGGTAATAGAGTAGAAAATGGAGAAAAATTGTGTCTTAGATATTAACTCAAACTTTTAAAGCTATCGAATGCATTCTAAAAACTACTTGTCAGCAGCGATTGAAGACAGCATGTTTACTGGTAGAGACAGTTAATTCTGTCTTACCTAAGCTGTTGTCGGCTCTAATAGTGTTTCAGTCTCTTTGCTTGTTAAAAGTACCTGAGATTTATCTCTCTGCTAAGTCTGCCTCTGCCCTCCTATATATATATATATATATATATATATATATATATATATAATACACACACACATATATACACACACACATACATACATATATAGTTAACTTATAAAATTAATATTAATTTGGAAATCAAGTTTAATTAGAGTTAAGGACATTTCTTTTAGATTTCTGACATTTAATGTCACCATTAGTAATAATTTCCTAAGGTATAATAATTAAGTCCAATCTGCTTCTTTTCTTCCTAATGTATTGAAGTCGATGTTTCAGGATAATTAACTGACAATTTGATAACAGTTTGGGAGATCAACAATGAGGCTAAACAAGTTTTGAAAAGTAAACCATCTCTGGGGTTAAAGATTCCTTTTGTTTGCTGATTGACCAGACTATTTTATACCTATTGTAAAAAGGGGTCTGAAATAGAAAAAAATGAGGTACAAGGTATAGAAACATTCATTTATGCCAGGCATTTTAAATTTGGGATAATATCTCATTTCTATATTCTAGACAAGTCATGCTTTCTGGCTCTGCCTGTTTCCCATTTAAAGGTGTCACTGCTAGCCTGTGTGGTGTCTTCATGTAAATTAGAAAAAGGAGCCTCTCTGGACAATGGGGACCCTGCATTTGGGAGGTGCAGGCAGAGGGGTCAGCTTCTTAAAAGAATGTATTATTATTAGGCTCTGGTAGTTAGTACTAACCATTTTTAACATTACCCATTTAGATTCTGCTTTTCAAAACAGCCATTACTGATTCCAATACCTATGAATGAAACTCAACTCTCCTACGGGATTATAAACCACTCAGTTTGTCTCCTCTTGCTATTTAGGTTAGAAATATCACATCAGCATTGTTTCTGGCTTTGCCTCAGGGCTGTGTCCTTGCATTCCACGTCAGTGAATATATTTGTTATCCTTAATGGTAGAGCTAAAAGGACCATTTTAGAGGATGTTTTCAATCCACTTATTTCAACAGACTCCGTTTGGGAAGAGCATTCAGAATAATCCATCCCCTTGTGCTTGAAAGGGTGTGTTAAAATATGCTGGAGCAGATTAGAATAAATGTGGTATTGGCATGAAACCGCCATTGTCTCTTTTCTGCGTTCATTTTCACTTGCCCATTCTAATGCTTTGTTTTTTGGTTTTTGTGTTTTACAAATGCTTCTTCTTTTCTTTTTGTAAACAGCTTTACTGAGATGTGATTCATATACCTTAACATTCATCCTACCACTCAGTGGCTAGAATATTTACACAGTTGTGCAGTGTCACCGCAATCTAACTTTAGAACGTTCGCGTTTCCCCCGGAATAAACCAGGGGCCCATTAGCAGTCTGAGCCGTTTGTTCCTTGTGCTGTAGTCTCACACCCAGGCTTTGATTTTCACCTTCTCCTGTGAATTTCTTCTTCGTTTTCTTTCCCCCCTATGCATGCAGTACTGAGTAGCTCTTGGTTTTTTTATTGTGAAGTCCCAGAAGCCT